ATATATATATATATATATATATGCGCTGTCGTAGTAAGATAGTTGAATCAACAGGTCATGTATCACCAACATCGCGTTCTACAGCCTAGTTTTAATGTGTCGTTTTTACTTTCTCGTATATACGTAGTATAGAGAAAGTATTGTAATCGTGCAAAAAAAAAAAATCGAGATTTTTACAAATCTCGACGTTTTACACCTCACTGATACGGAAAAACATAATTTTGCAATCTTGTCCGTATGTCTGTGTGTGTGTGTGTCTGTGTGTCTGTCCGTGTGTAAACACGATAACTTGAGTACCGTTACAGCTAGGTTGATGAAATTTCATATATAAGTATTTTATCAAAATCGTAGATCCGTATCAACTTTTGAGCGATTTCCGATAACCGGAAGTGGTACTTTTCCTACTTTGAATTTTTTAAAAGCCTATAACTTGAGTACTATTTCAGATAGATAAATGAAATTTCACATGTAAGTAAAAGATCTAATTCTCTACCTTCTGTTAAATTTTGAGTAATTTCCGTTGACTGGAAGTAGTAATTTACGCTACTTCCGATTTCTCAAAAAACTAATGTAAATTTTAAAAGTACTAATAATATTGCGCACTATTATGCGCTTTTTTTATTTGCGTTCACTTGGTGTGCAATTAATTTGTCTACGAGATTTTATTCTATTTTTAAAACTTTAAGTATTTAAAATGGATTAAAAATCATGTCTATAGCCCGAGTTTCCATCCCCTGTTATTTTATATAAGAATATTCGAGAAAGTTTAGGGGAGATCACTCCCGGTTTATTTCAGTTTGTAGACCGCATGAATGTATCTTATTTTGTCTGAAAAGATAGATAGTGTTGTGACCTTATTTTAGGTGTGTGTATGTAATCCACAAACTTGACAAAATACTGGCCATCTTTAAGCAACTTAAAAATATTCTGAGACAACTTTCAACTGGTATATTTGAGCATCTCCCCATGCATAGTTCTATATCATTTATATTGTTTCTCTTCTTATTTATTCATACTCCTTCTGTATCCCTTAGAAATGTTGTCAGCATTGTCTTACTGGTGTTATGTTTCCTTAAATAGCACACTTTTTTATCATGACAGAACCCTTCTTTGTTCAGTACATTTGCATTCGTTTCTTGGTACTTTCATAATTTCGACAGCATTTCTTGGTTAGTTTCGCACCCAGCTCGTATGCTAGATTGTATTAAGTTTTATGTTAAGTGAATTTGTTATACGCCATAATAAACTCGCTTTTCCCTCAAGTTTGTATCTGGCTCTAACGTTTGATCACATTTTTCGTGACCATCTAACGTTCATCTTTTTCAACTGACCTAACCCAGTTTTGATGAGCTCGTGTTATTTCTAGACTCGATCTAGTGGGCGCAGACAGTAAACTGAAAAGATAATTGTCTGATGACCCCGGCGATAAGAGTTCCAGAAGAAGACATGAAAATCAATAGAAGAAACTCTGGCGTCACCCGGTCGTCTGGTGGCTCCACCCCCTGCCCCACTGGTGCAGCACCGGCAGGTCGTTAGCACCGTTCTAGGCCCGAGTTGTTGCCACCTCTCCATACTGCCTGTAAATCATGCAACCCTCCCACAGGCCTGTGTAGGGACACTTCAAGTGTTTGTACAACACCATCTCATGCACTACAGATCAATCAGAGTGATGATCATGGGTCGGGTGGACTCGAGCCTGGTTCTATTAATAGCAAGAGAGGAGAGACACGTTTTAGTTGCCTAGTCTTTTTTTAAGGAACCGTTTTGACACAATGATCAGAGCTGAAGGAATTCTCTCCTGATGGCGTTGTGTAGAGCTTGATCTCTGCCAGGCTCCAAGAGGAAACATCAAGCAGGTGTGTAAGGTTGACCAGTACAGGTGTGGTGGCCTCTGGGGTCAAGTCTTAAGTCACACTGGTAATGCACCAGGACAGCCCTTTTATCTGGGTGAGTAAAAGAAAGTAAGCCGTCAATAGCGTGGAGTAACTCAAGCGAAACGGAAAGATTGCTGTAGCAGGACAAAAATAGCCGTGTTTTTAACTGCCATAAATAGCCCTTGTTTGCTGCAAGCTCCCCTAAAGTGCTTAGCATAGCGTGTATCCATTTGAAATGGCGGCTATGCTCTCGCTTATGTCTTTGATTCGGTAGTTTTTGGAAGGCTTTATGCGTGTGTATCTGTACTAAAGAATAAATTCCCTTCGTTTCTAGAGTTAATTGCTTTGATTACCAAGGGCAGTGTTATTTACCCGACCAAGTTGATGATTACTTACTAAATACACATTCAGTATTGCAGTTGCGATTATTAGGCTATTTTTATCACCAATTATCCAGGCTTCTAGTTACGTATACACAGAACACACGGTATAAAACTCTCCCTAAATGAACACCGTGGCCAACATTGTATCAGATTTGTATTGTAGTTGTAGGCTGGAATGTTGGCTTCTGATTGTTCTATTACACACTCAACACACGGCTAATTAATGCTCCATTCTCAACTATTGATCAACTCGTGGTATGTAAGGGTTCATATTTGATGCGACAGGTGGGACATTGTTTTTAGTGTTGTGTTTTAAATATTGCAGCTGACAAATTATTGTTTTAACATGAGATTTGCTATGTTTTTCTACTGTGATATTGCTGAGATTTGTTAGTTTTACCATACGAGTTGCTGTTTTTTTTTTTACAATGAGATTTGCTAATATGTTTTACCAGATTTGCTAATTTACCATGAGATTGATGGAAAGATCACATAGTGCTTTTACTAAGGTGTAGAACCTTCCCCCTCCCCCTTCTCCCACAAATAACGAAAATTCGTCACGATTTCAAATAAAAGATAAACTATTGAGACAGTAAAATTTCAGATTTAGCTTTAACTTTTATTGTATAATCTGACAAAGGCCTAGAATACACTTCAAACTGGTAAATACAAAACAGCTTTTCTACACATAGGGGAAAAAATTAATCTTTTTTAAACTTGACTCCTCATCGGTGTTCACTCTACCTACCCGACATAGATCAAATAGCTTTTAGCTAACCCAGTGTGCTGCTGGTGCATATTTAAAACGCGAGGCTAGCGGGCAATCCATTTTTAACACGTTTTTATTAACTCAGCTTCGCGTGTGTTTGTTGTTAAAATTGACATCGAAAATTAACCCACTTCTGATTGCTCAATAGATCTGAAATTTGGCATGTAGGCTACTTTCGCCTAACAATTTCAGATGCAATCATAAAAACTAGCAATTAGAGACGGTAATTAGCTTAATTTAATTACGCCCCAAGGACCATAAAATTGAGGACATGATTTCTAAAGATACCGACAAGACTGGAGGCTTATAGACACAGTTACTTCGGCCCCAATCGATGTGAGCGCGCTGGCCGTGATCGTATAGTGGTTAGTACTTCGCGTTGTGGCCGCGACAACCCAGGTTCGAATCCTGGTCGCTCAAGATTTTTTTAGTCCGTGTATTTATAAACACTTAGTCAATTCATACTTAATCAAGTCATTAGATAAAGTAGAAAATAAACTATATAAAAAACTTTTTTAAAAAACACGTTTTTCATGTGTAGCAACGGACTAAAAAGGAGAAAATAAAATACTTAAAAAAAACTTTTTAAAAAACCACGTTTTTCTTGTGGACTAAAAAGTAGAAAATAACTATTTACATACATTTGATGACAAAAAACGTGGGTCGGGCAGATGGGTCGGGAAATTTGATGGTGAACGTACCCACGTTTTTTGTCATCAAATGTATGTAAATAGTTATTTTCTACTTTTTAGTCCACAAGAAAAACGTGGTTTTTTAAAAAGTTTTTTTTAAGTATTTTATTTACTGCTAGCTTCAGCTGCTGAAAGAAATCTATAGCCCCCAAGTGTAACGTATTTGTTGTTGCTAGGTCTTTGAACCCACCACCACTTTAATGGCGATGACCACGTGACACGTTTGTCGTGACGTCATAGGTTGCTTACCAATCGATAGAAGCTATATCTGGTTCCCATCCATCCACACCGTGGGTTCAAGCTTTTCATTTGTTTACTGTACTCCGTACACTCGGTCTTGCTCCAATGGTAAACTTTGTTCGATTTTACTCATCCGGTCTGACCACAACCACCTATTCGCTAATTTATGCGTATTGGTTGGAGGTTAGGTTTTGGGTTAAAATGTTGGTGGATTTAGCCCTACAAATATGTCATCCCGACCAACGAACAGTTTCCCACTTTGATCACTTTGGTACATGTGTTGATTCAGTTTCCCACTTTGGTACATGTGTTGATTCAGTTTCCCACTTTCGTACATGTGTTGATTCAGTTTCCCACTTTGGTACATGTGTTGATTCAGTTTCCCACTTTCGTACATGTGTTGATTTAGATTCCCACTTTGGTACATGTGTTGATTCAGTTTCCCACTTTCGTACATGTGTTGATTCAGTTTCCCACTTTCGTACATGTGTTGATTTAGATTCCCACTTTGGTACATGTGTTGATTCAGTTTCCCACTTTCGTACATGTGTTGATTTAGATTCCCACTTTGGTACATGTGTTGATTCAGTTTCCCACTTTCGTACATGTGTTGATTCAGTTTCCCACTTTCGTACATGTGTTGATTTAGATTCCCACTTTGGTACATGTGTTGATTCAGTTTCCCACTTTCGTACATGTGTTGATTCAGTTTCCCACTTTCGTACATGTGTTGATTCAGTTTCCCACTTTGGTACATGTGTTGATTTAGATTCCCACTTTGGTACATGTGTTGTTTCAGTTTCCCACTTTAATGTGCTGATTCAGTTTCTCACCATATGTAATGTTTCTCTCACAAGTCCTGCATCCATTATTCAGTATTCCAAATAGCAGATGAAGTGCACCGTGACAAAAAAAAAAAGCGATGTTTTGTTAACCCGCGAGCTTCCTCTCACCAACTGCTAGAAAATAATGTGAAAAACAACATGCCGGCGTTTTATTTTTAGCCCAGTCAAGGCCTCCAGTAGTCGGGGATTTCCAATAACAAGCAAGTCGTCATCAACATGGCGAAAACAGCTTAGCTCAGTGTAGTCTTCAATACTGGGTCATCCACTGGGGTGTGCACTCCTGGCCAATATTTTTTGTACCGCACACCGTCACATGATCCAGTCACGGAGGTATAAAACGTGGCAACTATCTCAAGCCTTCTCGAGTCACGGAGGTACCAAACGTTGTGAGGCCGCCTCAGTGTTTAGTCGTACACGAGTTGTTTATTGATTGATTTATTCCGTGAGTAAAGTGGCTATTGTGTACGCTTCTTTCAGCGCTTGCTTGTGTTCTGTGTAAACCTTCATACAGGCGGTTCTGTTCGTCTTATTTGGATTAGCCGGTTCATGCTAATTCTTGGGTTTGTATCAAGTATAGATCTAATTATAAACGCACGCTGGTTTGTATTTAGGTGTTGACCGTGTGTGCTGGACACAAGCATCACGTGACATGTCGTGACGTCACGTGGGCATAACGTTGGGACGGCTGTGTGTCATGTCGACATGTCGTGACGTCACGTGGGCATAACGTTGGGACGGCTGTGTCTGTCGACATGTCGTGACGTCACGTGGGTATAACGTTGGGACGGCTGTGTGTCATGTCGACATGTCGTGACGTCACGTGGGCATAACGTTGGGACGGCTGTGTGTCATGTCGACATGTCGTGACGTCACGTGGGCATAACGTTGGGACGGCTGTGTGTCATGTCGACATGTCGTGACGTCACGTGGGCATAACGTTGGGACGGCTGTGTGTCATGTCGACATGTCGTGACGTCACGTGGGCATAACGTTGGGACGGCTGTGTGTCATGTCGACATGTCGTGACGTCACGTGGGCATAACGTTGGGACGGCTGTGTGTCATGTCGACATGTCGTGACGTCACGTGGGCATAACGTTGGGACGGCTGTGTCTGTCGACATGTCGTGACGTCACGTGGGTATAACGTTGGGACGGCTGTGTGTCATGTCGACATGTCGTGACGTCACGTGGGCATAACGTTGGGACGGCTGTGTGTCATGTCGACATGTCGTGACGTCACGTGGGCATAACGTTGGGACGGCTGTGTGTCTGTCGACATGTCGTGACGTCACGTGGGCATAACGTTGGGACGGGACGGCTGTGTGTCATGTCGACATGTCGTGACGTCACGTGGGCATAACGTTGGGACGGCTGTGTGTCATGTCGACATGTCGTGACGTCACGTGGGTATAACGTTGGGACGGCTGTGTCTGTCGACATGTCGTGACGTCACGTGGGCATAACGTTGGGACGGCTGTGTGTCATGTCGACATGTCGTGACGTCACGTGGGTATAACGTTGAGACGGCTGTGTCTGTCGACATGTCGTGACGTCACGTGGGCATAACGTTGGGACGGCTGTGTCTGTCGACATGTCGTGACGTCACGTGGGTATAACGTTGGGACGGCTGTGTCTGTCGACATGTCGTGACGTCACGTGGGCATAACGTTGGGACGGCTGTGTCTGTCGACATGTCGTGACGTCACGTGGGTATAACGTTGGGACGGCTGTGTGTCATGTCGACATGTCGTGACGTCACGTGGGCATAACGTTGGGACGGCTGTGTGTCATGTCGACATGTCGTGACGTCACGTGGGCATAACGTTGGGACGGCTGTGTGTCTGTCGACATGTCGTGACGTCACGTGGGCATAACGTTGGGACGGGACGGCTGTGTGTCATGTCGACATGTCGTGACGTCACGTGGGCATAACGTTGGGACGGCTGTGTGTCATGTCGACATGTCGTGACGTCACGTGGGTATAACGTTGGGACGGCTGTGTCTGTCGACATGTCGTGACGTCACGTGGGCATAACGTTGGGACGGCTGTGTGTCATGTCGACATGTCGTGACGTCACGTGGGTATAACGTTGAGACGGCTGTGTCTGTCGACATGTCGTGACGTCACGTGGGCATAACGTTGGGACGGCTGTGTCTGTCGACATGTCGTGACGTCACGTGGGTATAACGTTGGGACGGCTGTGTCTGTCGACATGTCGTGACGTCACGTGGGCATAACGTTGGGACGGCTGTGTCTGTCGACATGTCGTGACGTCACGTGGGTATAACGTTGGGACGGCTGTGTCTGTCGACATGTCGTGACGTCACGTGGGTATAACGTTGGGACGGCTGTGTCTGTCGACATGTCGTGACGTCACGTGGGCATAACGTTGAGACGGCTGTGTCTGTCGACATGTCGTGACGTCACGTGGGCATAACGTTGGGGCGGCTGTGTCTGTCGACATGTCGTGACGTCACGTGGGCATAACGTTGGGACGGCTGTGTCTGTCGACATGTCGTGACGTCACGTGGGCATAACGTTGGGACGGCTGTGTCTGTCGACATGTGACGTCACGTGGGCATAACGTTGGGACGGCTGTGTGTCATGTCGACATGTCGTGACGTCACGTGGGCATAACGTTGGGACGGCTGTGTGTCATGTCGACATGTCGTGACGTCACGTGGGCATAACGTTGGGACGGCTGTGTGTCATGTCGACATGTCGTGCCGTCACGTGGGCATAACGTTGGGACGGCTGTGTGTCATGTCGACATGTCGTGACGTCACGTGGGTATAACGTTGGGACGGCTGTGTGTCATGTCGACATGTCGTGACGTCACGTGGGTATAACGTTGGGACGGCTGTGTCTGTCGACATGTCGTGACGTCACGTGGGCATAACGTTGAGACGGTTGTGTCTGTCGACATGTCGTGACGTCACGTGGGTATAACGTTGGGACGGCTGTGTCTGTCGACTTGTCGTGACGTCACGTGGGTATAACGTTGGGACGGCTGTGTGTCATGTCGACATGTGTGTCGGTGGTAGGGGCGGGCACCCAGCACGAACAGTTTCTGACATTCAGCGTTACACCCTTTCACCCCCACAAGGGCACACTTCTGGGAGTTTTATTTACACTTGAAAAATGGCTTTCGTAATGCTTCATTCAATTTTCCGAGAAATGTATTTCTTTAGCCAAATTTTTTTTAAATAAAAAAAAATGAAATATTCAAATGCCATTGTCCCATAATTCTGTCTTTAGAAATGTTGTGTAGCGTTGTTTCCCCTCGCCGTTGTACAAGCTGACTTCTTATGATCAAAGAACATGCTTTACATAGTTGCGAATTCGTTTTTATAAACATTATATAATGTTTTTGTTCAGAAGGTATATTGCTAAGCCACACTATTCTCATGCCGTGGTCATTAAAACAGTTGAACTCTACTTCCTCTGCTCCACGTGTATATGGGTACGATAGGGAACAGATGATTTGTTTAGATACAGTAAAGAAATAAAGTTTGGTCATAAATTATACTATTTTCACAAACATGTTTTGCTATCTGTGTCATAAAGACATACGGTATGCTACCTGTGTCATAAAGACATACGGTATGCTACCTGTGTCATAAAGACATACGGTATGCTACCTGTGTCATAAAGACATACGGTATGCTACCTATGTCATAAAGACATACGGTATGCTACCTGTGTCATAAAGACATACGGTATGCTACCTGTGTCATCGTGACATGTTATGCTCCATGCGTCATACGTACATGAAGGCATGAATAATTGATCGAGCTGCAGCAAGTACTTGTTAGCTACCCCGTGTATCTTTCAGTAGATTCCACCCGTATGTCCACGCTGGCTAGTGTTAACTCTGTCATCTTGTTGTATCTTTCAGATGATGAGCGCCAGTTAGATGGACGTTGTGAATCGATGAACTCAAGATGGGGAGGCTGTATAGTCGGCCAGCTGTCCACCTTGTTGGCTAGACTGTCACGTGGTTCATTGATGTTAAACCACCACCGTGTGGACGCTGATTCGCCTTAACATTAGACTTAACCTCTCTTTGATTTGATGACTTCTAACTAAGATGGCCGACACAGAGCAGCTGTTCACGCTGACGGAAAAGTCTCCGTTTATGGGCTACAGCCCCAGCATATTCCAGACCAAGTACGGCATCAGCAGTGTGGAGAGGCTCAAGAGATCCTCCAAGCTTGGCAAAAAACTAACCAAGAAAGCTCGATACTCGGACAAGTCATCAGATAAATACAAGGATGATGTTGATAAGGATAAAGATGAGGTGATCGTCAAGTCAGAGCCGCTTGATGATGCGGAGGATTACTCGATGAAAGGCAACAAGAAGCTGGAGGACTCCTCTGTTCATTCCACCAAACCAGCCAACAAGTCTTATCGCAACAGTTCGGACACTCTTGGCTCGCCACCTACGTCCACCTCGCCCTTCATTTGCAAGTCCAGCCCCAGGGGCTTCGACGGTCAGTGCACCTCGCCCGGCTCCTCGGCTCTACCAGACTCGTCCACGGGCTCCTGTGAGCAGCTCTTGAGGACCGGGAACCAGAGGAGTGGGAGTATTTCCAGCCTAGAGGACTGTTTCCACAGCACCACCTCAACCTCTTCAGGGGAGACCATCCACTGTCAGGTCTGTGGGGATTTAGCTGCTGGATTTTACTGCGGCGCCTACATATGTGAAGCCTGCAAGGTAAGCCTTGAGTTACATGCACATTACTTACACTTTCATCTACATATCTTAGCAAGATACGTTGATTTAGACTAAGGGTTATTAATAAATAATATTATATTTTGTATTCTTTGTTGCCCTTCCAGATTGTATTTTATGTTCAGAGTTTCTTGGGGAAAACAGAGGTTTTCTTTATAAACAACTTGTCTTATTAAATCTACCACTCCCACTTTTTATTTCACCCATAGCCGAGTCATCACTTAGAAAACAAACCAGATGACTGTTATTACCATTTGATACAATTTGGATACTCCGTAGCTGTTTTGTTTTCGCTCTCGTCACGTTAAGCTGTAGGGGCGTACAAATGATTGGGGAAATAAGATGGATGGGTGTTTGTCTAGTATGACCTTAACCTTGGACTAGTTTAGCACAATGAAAGATATGAAAATACTACAAAATGAACTTGTTCTAGAGGGTAAGGGCACGTTATCACACTAGGCGAACCATCAGTTGTTTGATGCTACTTGTAGTCTCCGACTTATTTGCCGTCACACATCCCCCCCCCCCCCCCAAATAATAATAAAATAGTGCATACACTAGAATAAGGTCAACATCACAACAAAAACATTTCGGACCACACGCTTGACAAAATGAAAATTAAAAGCGAACTTCATCTAGTTGTTTGTTGCTTTTTTTTTTTGGGGGGGGGGGGGGAAGAGAGAAAGGGGGAGGCATCTATTATTATAGACAATGTCAAGGGCAGACACTGGCGTAGTTCAAACGAAAAAGCTCGTGAGGCGCTCATGGTAAAACATAACTGTTAAACTGTTACATGTAGTATATGGTGTATGTTGCTGTAGATCTACTGTGTTGTATGCAGAGGCGTAGCGATGGGGGGGGGGGCAGGGGGGTACATATGTCCCCGGGCGCCGACATTAGGGGGCGCCAAAATGGGTTGTAAAAACAAATTAAAATGTCATTTTAGCGGCATTTTTGCAGTTTGGGGAGAGGGGGTTCAAATCAAAAGTTTGAAGGGGGTGGGGGTGCAAATTGAAAATTGGCTCCCGAGGGGGCGCCAAATTGACAGTTTGTCCCCGGGCGCCGGGAAAGGTCGCTACGCCTCTGGTTGTTTGTCGTGTATGGTAAAAAAAAAAAAATTTTATCCGTCTTCAATTAAAGCGGTTCTCAAAGTAAAACTTGTTGACACGCAGTAGCATGATGCAACATAAATACTATTTAATACAAACCAAGGGAAGGGCTCATCTAAACCAGGACCCCATCCAGTCTCAGACTGAGAACCGCCGAAAAATTGTTTGAAGAAAATTGTTTTGACTTTCTACCCCGCCAAGGTTAAGTCGGACAAGCAGACGTGTCCGCCATAGATTTGTACCAAACAACATGGCCGATGTTTACCAGTTCTATGCCACGCTTGTTTGTGCTCGTTGGAATTTTGAGTCTGGCCTGCACAGGGGTGTCCATTAAAGTGGAACGGTCTCAGTGGTAGTGGCGTATCCACTAACGTGTAACTGTAGTAGTGGCGTATCCACTAAGGTGGAACTGTAGTAGTGGCGTATCCACCGAGGTGGAACTGTAGTTGTGGCGTATCCACCGAGGTGGAACTGAGATGGATTTGATACCAGTTGTTTACAAGCCATTAAATAGATGTACGTGTCCGCTGTAAACTGTCACAGCCAGTGATGGACGTCTGTCAACGACATGCAGCCAGTGATGGACGTCTGTCCACGACATGCAGCCAGTGTTGGACGTCTGTCAACGACATGCAGCCAGTGTTGGACGTCTGTCAACTACATGCAGCCAGTGATGGACGTCTGTCCACGACATGCAGCCAGTGTTGGACGTCTGTCTACAACATGCAGCCAGTGTTGGACGTCTGTCCACGACATGCAGCCAGTGTTGTATCACACAGAAATTCCCGGATGTCGCCTGCTGGATCTAGAAAGGTCCGTCTCTAAAAGGTCGGTCTACCGGCATCAGGTCTGACGAAAATGAAAGTAGCCGCCATCTTTTTCCCCGCGACCAGCTTTGTGTTGTGAAATCCCAGAGGTCGGCATGAATTCATTGCAGTGGAGACAGAAATGCAAAACAAACACAGGTTCATTGACTTGTTGAGCAAAGCTGGCAATTTGGTTAATTAATGATGTGTTTTGTTTCTTGTTACAAAATGTTTATCTCGTGACGGTGAAGTATTTGTAATATTGACTAATGCCCAACTCGGTGGGGAGGGGGGGGGGGGTCTGTAAGTCTGGCCAGATGTCATGGTGTCCTGTTTATCTGTCTTGTTTATTTGGATTGAACGTCCTTCGTTATTTTGGACAACTGCGTCCCAGGTATTGTTGTTTACGTCGGTCTGCTATTTGGGTCAGTTTGGAATGAGCACCTGCAATTTATTGTATTGATTGACGCCTCCGTCCTAGTTTCTTGTTTTATACCTCGCTAGCATTCAATTATAAAAAAATGGAACATGCAGTCTAAGACATCAGTGAAGGATATGTTAGCGTTTGGGTCACGTGTTGTTATGGGTGAGGCAATCGAGTGGATGGGGGGGGGGGTGATGAACCTCCGTAACCAGTTGTTTACCACTTTGATGTCAAGGCCATGTGTGCTGGGCAGGTTTCCAGTCCGGCTTTACACTTGACGTTTTGTGGGGGATCAATGTTGGTCAAGTCACGTGATGCCCGCAGCTTACCGTGGTACAAAGCTGACATAGATCAGACTTACAACATGTGTATTGTTGACTCTACCAATAGGTATAAAATGTTCATTGTCTGCAGCCGAGCTTGTCTTTGTATTAAGGGATGACTATGTCGTCATTTAGAACGTAGTAGTATAGGCGATGGGGTAAGGGGAGGGTGTAGGGTAATGCTCTACGATAAAAAGGATTGAATGGTACGAAAATAACAAGATTAAGGAATGTCCTATACACACGTTCCCTAGGTTTACCCAGCGTGAATAGTGTGCACAAATAACGCGCTCAAAAGTGGGCCATGGTACCAAGTCCGGGCTGACTGAAGGCCTTGTTTTCTAGGTTACCATAATCACTCTCGGCGGTTCTAACATTGTTACAGGCAACACTAGGATTCCACTTTACCATCACATGTCGTGTTCAGATGTCTTCTCAGTTATGTGATGCCGGCAAATAATTTTTTTTTAAAGAAATAATTATTGAAACACTTTGTTGAAAGCAAATTTGCAAATATGCTACCTACAGCACTTCTGAAATGAAACTATTAAAATACTTGTTTAAAACTTTATAGCTAGATAATTAATTGCTCCAAGTTTGACTGTTAATGTATGCATGAAATTTAATAACTGCACGTGTACATAATGTAGCTATTGCGAACAATCAAATGTGGGTCCTTAGACTGGGTTGAGAACCTTTGTTTTGTCTAGAACAAGATTGCTAGATGCAAGGGGGGCAATCATGTTTCTGGACTAGCATTACAACCGATCGCTCTGTTACTTGATGGTAATGTTTACGGAGGGGTGGGGGTTGTTTTTCTATCTGTACTAGAACCACTGTACTCTTAACCCTGGCCTAAAATAGACCAGCTATGTTTTTCGTGTTTATGAGTTTGAAAGAGCTTGAGCGGCAAGTTGCAGTGCATGTCCTATCGATCACCCAGCCTACGGGATGGTAGGATGGACGGGGTGGCAAGCACTTTTTTTTTACTTTGGTAGATACCCGTATAAACGTAATAAGTAATATCTAGGGTATTATTAGTTGTAAGCTGAAGTTTGTTTTTTAAATCCCCACTCGATTGGTATTCTTGAAGGTTGGTTAGGACTGGTTTATATGAAAGAATGTTTTAGCTTTACGCTGGTTCTATATTTAGAGTTGTTTTGTTGCGTGGCTGGTTGAAAAAAAATGTGGGGCACTGTGTGGGAGTGTGTGTGTGTGGGGGGGGGGGGGGGTGAAGATGGAAGGGTGAGGAGTGTGTGTGTGGAGGGGGGGGGTGAAGATGGAAGGGTGTTGGCTCTGTGTTTGTTTTACAGTATTGTTGGATTAATGACTAGCTTGACTGCTCGTAGGTTTTATGTGTTTGCGTTGTTAATGTTATATGGGTAGCTTGCTAATCCTACGCCCAACCCTCCTTTTGCGGGCAAGGGACGGGCGAGGTGCTCCCTCAGGTTGATCTCGGTGGTTTGCCCATCTGTATTTCCAAAAAATATATTTCTTCTGTCTTCATCCACCCATGTCGTCAATGTCCATCCACTGTTGCTCTACATCCACCCATGTCAATGTCCACCCACTGTTGTTCTACATCCACCCATGTCAATGTCCACCCACTGTTGTTCTACATCCACCCATGTCAATGTCCACCCACTGTTGTTCTACATCCCCCATGTCAATGTCCATCCACTGTTGTTCTACATCCACCCATGTCAATGTCCATCCACTGTTGTTCTACATCCCCCATGTCAATGTCCATCCACTGTTGTTCTACATCCCCCATGTCAATGTCCACCCACTGTTGTTCTACATCCCCCATGTCAATGTCCATCCACTGTTGTTCTACATCCCCCATGTCAATGTCCATCCACTGTTGTTCTACATCCACCCATGTCAATGTCCATCCACTGTTGTTCTACATCCCCCATGTCAATGTCCACCCACTGTTGTTCTACATCCCCCATGTCAATGTCCATCCACTGTTGTTCTACATCCCCCATGTCAATGTCCATCCACTGTTGTTCTACATCCCCCATGTCAATGTCCACCCACTGTTGTTCTACATCCACCATGTCAATGTCCATCCACTGTTGTTCTACATCCACCCATGTCAATGTCCATCCACTGTTGTTCTACATCCCCCATGTCAATGTCCATCCACTGTTGTTCTACATCCACCCATGTCAATGTCCATCCACTGTTGTTCTACATCCACCCATGTCAATGTCCATCCACTGTTGTTCTACATCCCCCATGTCAATGTCCATCCACTGTTGTTCTACATCCACCATGTCAATGTCCATCCACTGTTGTTCTACATCCACCCATG